AAAAAAAAAAAAAAAGGTTGTATAACCTTTTGCTCTTTCAGGCAATCAGCTGGTGACCGCCCAAGAATGAAGCCATGCAGCAAGATTATGTAACCTTTTGCCCTTTCTTATGGAGACTTTTTGCTATAAAAGTTTGTTATCCTCTGCATTAAATCGCACTCAGCACTCAGCAACCATTCCTCTTGTGTGTGAGTTGTCTGTTTGCCATCTCCCCATCCTATTCCAGGTTCCTCCCCTAGGTATCCTCCGTCGTCCCGACAGAACCCGGTCCGCGGCAAGAAAGGACTTTTGTAAAATAGAAATAGACACAGGAGAGTTCCACGAGTGTTAGAAGCCATTCTGCAGGGCGTCCTTCAGGACTGAGTTTCGCTCCCTGATCATCTTTCCCTGCTGTAACAACAGCTCCTAACGAACACGCGTTTGCACGTACATGACTCATCTAATAATCAAAGTCATTCCCAGGGTTGTTTCTCTTTCTAATGATACGACTTTGCTACTTACACTCACTGAAAGGAAATTACTCAAAACCAGAAAGGACTTTTATTTTTTTCTCATCAATTCCCAGTTTGAGATTCTGGTCTGTTTCTATTTCCTCCCCCTACACCACTTTTTGGGCTTGAACTCTGGGCCTGGGCGCTGTCCCTCAGCTCTTCAGCTCAAGGCGAGCGCTCTACCACTTGAGCCACGGCGCCACTTCCATTTTTCTGGTGGTTCATTGGAGATAAGAGTCTCACTGACTTTCCTGTCCAGGCTGGCTTTGAACTGCGATCCTCCGATCTCAGCCTCCTGAGTAGCTAGGATGACAGGCGTGAGCCACCAGCGCCCAGCTCAGGCTATTTCTTAAAGTTGCTAACTTTCAAATATGGGCTGCTTATTTCAAAAGAGATATATTTAAGTCGTGCTAAGAAGTAACTTAAAATGACTCGACTTTAAAATGCAAGAAATGAATGCCCGTCAGAGCGCAGCGAATCAAAGACAGTAAGTGGTCGTCTTACTTGTGCTTCACAGAAAAGTACTCGTTCATCTTGGACATCCTGGCTTTCTTCTTCTGCTGTCTGGTTTCGGGGTTGAAGTCTGCCACTTGGGGCCCGGGATTTTGGAAGGCCAGGCACCTAAGCTGACGCTCTATCTGTTGCTGCCCAAATGAAAGCATGAACAGAACGTTTGAGTAACTAAAACAAAAGACAACAGCACACGGTTTTATTCACTGTACATGCTTTCAACCCAAGCACGCTGGAGCTTGTAGACACGGGGTGTACATGGAGAAATAAACATGGATGGAAATTGGCTTAAATCACATCTGTCTTCCTTTCTCTTTGGGCCTCTCCTGGGGCTTGAACTCGGGGCCTGATCATACCCCTGAGATTTTTTTTTCACTCAATGCTCTACTGCTTGAGCCTCGGCCCCACTTCCAGTGTTTGTTTTTTGGATATTTTTTTTTTTTGGTAGTTCATTGGAGATCAGAGTCTCATGGACGTTCCTGCCCGGGCTGGCTTTGAACCTCGATCCTCAGATCTCAGCCTCCTGAGTAGCTGGGATGACAGGCGTGAGCCGCCGGCACCTGGCAAATTCCTACTTCTTTAAGCCCCTATTTCTCATTTTTTTGTGAAATGGATTAGCTGAGTTGGTGAAGTAGCTGGAAGCAGACGGAGGTGTGCTCTACAAACTGATCGAAGTCGAAGGAATATTCCAAGCCAGGAGGCAGTGAGTCGGGGGTGGTAGCCCCCCCCCCCCGTTTGAGGGGGGAGGGAGATCTCCCCCCTCCCGCCTTCCTTCCCACCAAACCCACCCACCCACCGGACGTCCCAAGGGCACGCTCCCCTCGGGAGTTTCTGTGGCCACGCCCTACCAGTTGCTTCTGTCCAATGGGGCAGCTCTTCTCGGGGGAGCCTCGGTCTGCGCGTCCTTCCCCCGCGGCCAGGCGTCTGTGTGAGGCCTCGCCCATCCTCAGCCCCTGCGGAAGAAGCGCACGGAAACGCGTGGACACGGGCATTTGCGTGGCTTCGCGTGGCTCTGGCGGACTCTTCTGCTCAAAGCCAGGCTTCCTGGAAAACCACGTCTGTTCCCCCCCACACACACACACACCCCAAACCATTCTGCAGGAACTCTCTGCTCCTGGGCAGAGCCATTGGTCCCAGGAAGCCTAAGAAAGAAAGATCCAGAACCCTTCCTTCCCCCTTCTTTTGGTATTCCTAAAGCAAAGGTGTCTACCCTGGGGCTTGAATGTGGACGTCACCCTGTGTGTCTTACTCTCTTCTAACTCGAGCGTTTCCTCCTGAGACCCTAACCTGACAGCCGACCCCCCCCCCAAGCTGTATCTGTGACTTTGCTGGCTGAAATCACAGCATTCCCTAACCCACACTTTTCCCTGCCTGACACAACTCCATTGCTCCTCCTCATTCCTTCAAAGCCATAGTCGTTCTGAAACCCGCAGCTAGATCGTATGTGATGGGTCATGATCAGACACCAGGGTCCCAGCCACAGCACGGTGACCGCTGCCTTTGAGTCCAGCTTGCTCCCTCTGCAGTGGTCAGACATCCTGGCGTCCGATCGAAAGCATCCTTCCGGGGTCCCCTCGGCTGCCCACAGCCCTGAGACCACACAGCTCCCCGCTCCCGGTGAACCCGTCCCAAAGCCCCGTGTCTAGCTGGCACCATGTTCCCGCCCGTGGCCGGAGCTGCTGCATTTGGTGGGAAAGCCACAGGTGTGCAGCCAGCCGCTTTGACAGACACTCTTACTTGGCGGCCCTCGGGCCTTATCCTCACCATAAACGGGAAATCTGAGCTGTGCCAGGGACCTGCTGGCTAAAATGTTCCTTTTCCTTCTATGGCCAGCTCTACAGGCCAGGCTCCTGTTAGATATCCAGCCTTTCTGGAGCACTGTCACACCTTCCTTTAATCCCGGCAAGCCCAGAACTATCACAAGGCTGGGGTTTAAGAAATATCCTGTGAATATCACATTTAACCAAACTTCCTGTGACAGTCACGGTTATAAGATTAAGAGTTTCTTTTTTTTTTGGGGGGGGGGTCCGGTCGTGGGGCCTGAACTCTGGGCCTGGGCGCTGTCTCTCAACTCTTCAGCTCAGGGAGGGTGCTCTACCACTTGAGCCACAGCGCCACCTCCAGTTTTCTGAGTGGTTTACTGGAGCCAGCCTGGGCTGGCTTTGAACCTCAATCTGCAGATCTCAGCCTCCTGAGTTGCTAAGATGACAGGCGTGAGCCACCACACCCGGCTTCTTTCTGTCTTATGTGGTGCTGAGGAATCGAACCCAGGGCTTCATGCACGCTAGGCGAGCGCTCTACCACCGAGCCACCTTCCCAGCCCACTGGCTTTGTTTTCCTTGGTGTGTGCACACTGACCCACACAGAGAGATCTCTGCCTTACTCTTCTTCCCAGGCCACCAATCCTGTCTGGCTTAGGCGTCATTGAGCCTTTGCTTTCTAAAGGCCTCAGCTGTGAGAAAGTCCTCCGGGGGAGGACTTGGGATGTGAGCCCCCCTCCCCCCCACCCTTGGGCAGAGCACCAGGGACAGACCCTGTGCTCACACTGGGGTTACTCCTACCTTTAGCACGCGTCATCAACAGTACGAATTTTTTTTCCTACGTGCCTCTAAAGATGGTTGAAAATTGTCCAAGCCAGAACCGTATTCTGGCTCAACTCTGGACCAAAAGTTGACCTCGAGTGTGTGTGTATGTGAGCATGTGCATGCCAATCCCGGGGACCGAACTCAGGGCCTGGGCAATTATACCTAAGCTTTTCTGCCCAAGGCGAGTGCTGGACCAGGGAGCCAGAGCTTCGTGCCTGGCTTTTGGGGCTCACAGACTGTCAGATCTGTCTGACTTCAAACCACAGTCCTCAGATCTCAGCCTCCTGAGTGGTTAACATGACAGGCGTGAGCCACCGGAGCCCGGCCGTCATTTCTTTCATACACACCCACATGCACCTGCGTGGCACAATACAAAACGGTATGAAGACAGAGACCATATCTTTACACTAATTGGAAAGTGCCTGAGAGATTCTGACCGTCAGCAAGACACAGCGGACCCCACAATTGCAGTAATTCACGGTGTGATGGGAGAAGTCTGGTGCGGCCTTCAACCAGCCCTGCCCCAAACCACATCTAAGTGGGTTCTGGCTTGTCATCTACCCGCATCGCGACACTCAGGTCTCCTGGCCGCGCACTCATACGCTTTCTTAGCCGTTTGAAGGATTTATAAGGAACAGAATCCTGTGTGCGTCCCCTGCCCAGAGGGAGGAGGGGAAAAGAAAGAGGACACTCGGGGGCTGGGAAGGTGGCTCCGTGGTAGAGCGCTTGCCTTGCATGCATGAGGATCTGGGTTCGATTCCTCAGCACCACATAAGCAAAAAGAAAAAAGCTGGAAGTGGTGCTGTGGCTCTAGTGGTAAAGTGCTCGCCTTGAGCTGAAGAGCTGAGGGACAGCGCCCAGGCCCAGAGTTCAGGCCCCATGACTGACCAAATAAACAAACAAACAAATAAACAAAAAGAAGACACTCGGATGAGGGCTCAGGACCCGGCCTTTTCCACCTGGTCCAGAGTCGTACTGAGAGTAGACATTGTTTCTCTTGGACCCCCTGACCCTCCCCCCCCCCCAGCCCCTGCACGCCAGTGCCTCAGTTTCCATTCTGATCTGAGAATGAGAACTCTCAAGAGCCGACCAGTCAGCCCCCGAATGTAACAGCGCGCACCTGTAGTCCCGTGGCTGCCCTCTGCCCCTCTCCCCTGCCGGCCTCCAAGGGCACCCGGAGCCCTGGGTGGGGGGCAGCCGGGCGGGGAGGACAGAGAAGTATGACTCCGTGAGGAGGAGGAGAAGGAAAGTTCTGGAAGGAGGAAGGAGCGCACATACCTGTATGTGGAGGAGGAAGGTAGCAGAAGGAGGAGAGACGCTGAGCTGCTTTGTGTTCTTTGTTTTGTTCAGAAACCAGAGTCCTCAAGGGAAAACCTCAAGGTCTCCAAGGTGTTCCCGCTGGGGGGGAGGGGGGGAGGAGGGCGGGGAAGGGAGGAACAAAGGGGAGGGGGAGGGGGAGGAGGGCACCGGTGGCTGTCTGGCTGTCCCTCAGCTCTTCAGCTCAAGGCGAGCGCTCTACCACCTGAGCCACAGCGCCACATCTGGTTTTCTGCTGCTTCATCGGAGATCAGAGTCTCACAGACTTTCCCGCCTGGGCTGGCTTTGAACCACGATCCTCTAATCTCAGCCTCCTGAGGAGCTGGGATTCCAGGCGTGAGCCAGAAGCTTCCGGCTCTCCTGCACTTTTTACAGACTACCCACCTGGCCGTCGGCATGCTACCCGGCTCTGGTGATCCCAGGCCTCCACTAGCGTCCCCCGACGAGGAGGGACTGACCACTGCCCTTCTTCCCGTCCTCAGCTTGCCCACCCGATGCCAGCGCCGCACGTCAGCATCTAGCTGACTTCATGGCCTGGTTTGCCACCTCCCGCACACGCCCATCACCGGCAGAAAGGCAAAGACCCATTTTGGGGGGGAATAGCGACCTGTGATCTGCTTCCTTCGAGACTCACCAGGATCCCAGACCCCCGCCCCTCCCCGCCCACCCTGCCCGGCAACTCCTGCTTTGTGGGAACGAAGCCAGCCCAAAGGACCGCAGACCTGACCTGACCGTGAGAGAGGGCGCACCCCTCCATGAACCCCACATCCGCACACCGCGCCCTCCTCCCACCAAGGCCACTGAAGGTGGTGTGAACCCCACCTCGGCCTCTGGAAGACAGAAATGGAAACCTATCTCTGTGTGTCTGTGTGTGTGTGTGTGTGTGTGTGTTCCAGAACATACTGTCAGACCACCCCCTGTGGCTCACACCCACCATCCCAGCTACTCAAGAGGCTGGAGATCCAAGGATCCCAGTTCAAAGCCAGACCCAGGCAGGAAATTCCATGAGACTCTTATCTCCAATGACCCACCAAAAATGGCTGGAAGTGAATCTGTGGCTCAAGTGGAGAACACCAGCCTTGGACACAAAAACTTAAGAGACAGAACCCAGGCCCTGAGTTCAAGTCCTAGGGCCAGCATGCATGCACAGACATGCACACACACACACATACACACACACGCACGCACACATGCATGCACACACACATACGCACACACACGCATGCACACACGCACACACACACACACACACACACAAAGTTTAAAAAAAAAGCTGTCAGATATTAATAGACAATACCTCTGAATGTGTCTTAACTTTCTTTTTCCTGTACTTACCCTGTTCCTATAATAAGCCTTGATTTCACATTTTTAAAAAGATGATGATGCTTTCAATGATATTTCTCAGAATAATTCATTTTGGGCATCGTATATGTGCAGAATAAATATTCCCAACAGAGGAGGCAAAAACATCAATCCAAAATTAAAAGAGCCTTTACAAAAACACGCTCTCCTGGGGAATAGAACCTATGGCCTTGTGCATCAAGAGTTTAAAAGCTGGAACAGAAACATCCGCCTTTACTAATGAAACCACACGCCGTGGTTATGTTCCCAGGCCGCTAGAAATCACCCAGACAGACAAGCCAGTTCCAACGCTCTCCTCTCCAAGATCTAGGATTTGTCCCTTCTGCCAGTAGAGGGCAGCCATGTCAAGAGTAAATACAGGCTGGGTGTGGGTGGTGCGTGCCAATAATCCTAGCTACTTAGGAGGCAGAGATCAGAGGCTCACAGTTCAAAGCCAGCCTGGGCCAGGAAAGTCTGAAAGACTATTTCCGTGCAATTATCAAAAAAGCCAGAAGTAGAGCTGTGGCTCAAGGGATAGAACACTAGCCAGGAGCACAAAGAAGGTCAGGGACAGCCCTCAGGCTGAGTGTGAGCCCCAGAACATACTCAGACACACACACAGACACACACACATGCACACGCACACAGACACACACACACACATGCACACACACACACACACACACACACACACGAACAAAGGGGAGAATTGTGGACCCTCTTTATGCTGCAGAATCCTTCTAGATTCCCAGGCCTGGACAAGCTGTGTTATTCGACATGATATCATCCTGAGAAAGGACTTTTGGATCGCATACATTCCGTGGATTTTCAAACACAGTTGAAAAATAATCAGGAACTCGCTGGATGTAACCAGCGTCCTGGAATCCACCAAGCACTTTAAGGAGGGCTCTGGAGAAAGCACGCATTCGCCTTCCCGATACGGCTACCGAGAGGTGCAGAGGACAGGTGCACACCAGAACCAGAAACATGTAAGAAGCCAAAACCACTCGCTGCCTTCAAAGAACAGTAGACGCGCAGCCATGGATTCGATGCGACTGCGCTTCAAAAGCTTGACGCCATTGGAATTTATGACGCACTAAGCCGCTGATATGGACAAACCTGAAGCCTCTGAAATCGATTTTACGGCTGTGTAGCGGTGGATAGAAGCTACAGCAAAGGCAGCGTTCCGATCACAGCTTTCCTGAGTCACAAGGCTGTGAGCCCAAGGTTATAGCAATAAAATACCCTCCGCTCGTGAGCCGGGCAGGATCCAGCTCCACACAGATGCTCTTCCCGCCCCCCTCCACCCCAGGGCGGGCACTCAGGGGTCACAGGCCCCCAGGACGGTGGGTGTCCCTCTTCAGGGCCAGGAAGTGGGGGGAGGAGAGAGCCCCGAGTCTACCCTGCACGTGGAGGCCCCAGGGAAGCAGAGATGTGGACTCTGTGTGTTCAGACCCTGCCGGCACCCAGCATCCTCTGGGAAGACAGAAACGGGTTCTACTGCGACTCTGAGTTCTCCATCCACACTTGGCCAGGAGGCAGCTCCCGAGACCAAATATGCCGCCGGCCGCTGGCACAGAGCTCCCAGCCGCTGAGACTTTGCGGCCCGGGCTGGCTTTGAACCGCGATCCTCGGCACTCCGTCTCCTGAGTAGCTAGGATGACAGGAGGGAGCCACCGGTGCCCGGCTTACCGTATTTCTTGATTATTACAATCCCTTTCTGAGGGAAACGGAGAGCCAGAGATACTTTTCTTCAACCCCCATTCTACCCCCCAAACCAAACAAAATAAAAACCACCACCAAGAGGGAGGTACACACCACGTCTGTGTACACGAAGCTTTACTTTCGCAAAGTTCTGCCTTTAATCAGGTCTAACACAACCAAGTGGATTCCATGCACGGATGGGAATGGTTGTAGTACATGGGGCCCATTTAGGTTCCGTTGGGCAAACCTGGAAGCCCCATTTCAAACTTCCCCTCCTGAGCTTCGAACCATGAACACAACGCTCTGCGAGCACCGCAGCCCGGCGTCCCCGGCCCAGGCCAGCCGCGCCTTCGGCCTGGTCCTGTTCTTCATCCCTCAGGACGGGCTGGAAGAGGGTCACGCCACGGGTGAATTCTCACACCGGAACCCAGAGCCCATAACGGGGACCAAAAGGCCACTTCACAGATCCCACAACCATCTCGGGCTCGTAACGACGCTCTAAAGTGGAATGATGGAGACGTATAACTCAACGTAGCAGGGCGTGGTGTGTGTGGGGTAGGATGGGAGAAATGGGCAGAAGATGGCACACTTCCTCCAATCGGGAGCCGCCTGTTCTTCCTTTTAGAACCTGCTTTCCTTTGGCTCCTGGTTTTGTTTTCCTTTCATGAATATTGCTTTTTTCTTTTCCTGGATTTTGTTTCTTCACACTGTCGTGCTATGTTCTCATTATTCTTTCCATTTCCAACCACATAAACCCCGGAGGACTGCAAATCTGTCTTTCCATCAGAAAGGAATGTGTTCCTTGGGGGTGCCAATAAGTTGCTGTTCTATTGGCGTTCACAACAGAATCAGCAAGACTTTCTTAGGTAATTGTTTTGGGGTTGTTTTTGTCTTTCACAAGGCATTTAAAGTGAACATCTGTGGGTCTCTTGCCCAACAGGAAGTACAATGTTCCTTAAAATGATTTTAAAAAATAGCATAAAGTACAGCAGCGTGGACAAAACCTTCATGAATCGCTGAGCCTGGGGCTCAAACATGACAACAGACTGCTGCAGACTGCTAGCTGTGACCAGCCCGCAAATGAACCCCGTGGCTCCCCGAGAGAGCCAACAACACGACAGAGCTTGGGCCGGGCGAGGTGGGCCTGCTATGCATTCCTCCGGAGCCACGCGGCTATCCTGGCCCCCCGCTCTCTGCTCTTCAGATTCTCCTTCTTTATCATCTGCAGCCTGGCGTGCACGGCCATGCTCTGGTCCTCACTCAACATGCTTCCGAAGGCCCGCTGCAGCTGGGAAGGCAGACAGAGCCGTCAGCACACCGAGCGTCCCACACACAGCGCAAAACCACGTCCAAAAAGGTGACCGTGTCTGCAGAGAGCAGACAAGAGAGGGGGGGTCCGGGGACCGGGAGCTCTGCCTGGCTCTGTCCTCTCTTCCAGAACACACCGTATGTCCTCCGTGAGGACTTAACTTAAGGTACAGTGGCTGAGATCAAGATTGGCGGAGGGAGGTACCTCAAAGCAAACCTGGCAACTTCCCAAACTCAGTGGAGTGACATCACACTTTTCTGGCTTACAGATGTCCACGTTGATCTCTGAATAGTGTAGTCGCTGTCAGCGTTTGCTCATGACATGACGATCTTTTATGGATATTATTATTATTATTGTTGTTATTTTGGTTGGTTGCGTGGCCTGGGCGCTGTTCCTGAGCTCTTTTTGGCTACCACTTGAGCCACAGCACCACTTCCAGTTTTCTGGTGGTTCATGGGAGATCAGAGTTTCATGGGCTTTCCTGCCCGGGCTGGCTTTGAACCACAATCTTCAGATCTCAGCCTCCTGAGTAGCTAGGGTGACAGGCGTGAACCACCAGCACTCAGCGGATATGACAATCTTATAGTTAGGCAATTCCAGAGTCCAGGAACTCCTGGAACTAATCGATTAACTCAGCAAATTTTCAGATACAAAGCGGATAAGCAAAAATCAGTAACATTGCTATGTATCAATGACAAATTATTTAAAAAATTAAAAAAAATCAAGCTGACAAATCCCATTTCTAGTAGATACCCCCCCAAAAAAAAAACTAGGTAATCATTTAACCAGAGGGAGGTAAGGAACTGAAGAGAGACAGGGAGAAAGTTAAGTTTCCTCCGACTGGCGTGCTCATGCACGGACATCAGAACAAGGGATGAACACGTGGGTTTCACGTACCGGCTACTGCACAGAGAAAGCCTTTGCGAGAAGAAATGCAGCACAGGAGGAAACAAGCGGGAGACGCAGTGAACTCTGGGCGGTGTTCTAGAATGTGAATTGGCCGAGGCCCTCAGCGAGCAGGCACTGATCCTAGCCGAGGCCGGTGAGCTCCGATGGGGCCGTGGAGAAAGAGAGGGTTTGACGGCCGTCATGAACGTAAGAACTTCCCAGGGCAGGCCTGGTGGCTCACCCCTGTAATCCTACCTACTTGGGCAGCAGGGCTCCCGGGAGATCCCAGTTCGAGGCCAGCCCCGGGCAAAACACAATAGGGAGATTTCATCTCCGTCGAGATGGCGTAGGTCTCCCGTCATCTGAGCAGCTGGGTCTCGGTCCGAGGCAGACCTGGACAGAAGCCTGACACTTGGAACGATCACCAGGCTCCATTTGTTCGGCACCTGCCTAGCGAGCTTAGGCCCTGAGCTCAAAACGTTAGGATTGTGTTTAACCAACTAAATAGGGGCTGGGAAGGCGGCTCAGTGGTAGAGCGCTTGCCTGGCATGCGTGAGGCCCTGGGTTC